AGTTCCCCTGACAACAAGACCAAGTTGCGACAACGAGGTCAACCCACTTCTATAAATCGAAAGGAGACCGCGACCATAGCATTTTAGTCTTCATATATTCAGTAGTAAAGATAGTTAGCTAGACCATCTTATATCTATCCATGCCTGTTCATTTTCGTTTTGGGTCATGAGTATATCTAAGAGGTAAGCTAGAGCCGGATAGTCTTCTTGACCTAGCGTTAACGTGAGACTTTCAGAAGAATGAGTTACAGCTCTGATGCTGTCCATTATATGATAAAAAAAAGCTCAGTCGTTTTGCCCAGAAGCGAGAGAAGAGGTCTCGTGAACTGCCTCACCCTGAACGTCGTACAGAAGCCAAACGGCTGCAGCATAACGGGATTCAGTCGTCGTCTTCTGGTGATATCAAAACCACAAATATCTTCTTCATTCACTTTCATACGAAATGAAGGTCTTCCAAGCTATGTTAGCCTAGGAGATTCCTCGAATCTCAGTTACTCTTGCTATCTATAATTGGAATTGTAGGATGGTTAACCAAGGACTTGTTCGAAAAATCCAACATTCTCCCTATTCTAGTAATCCTTCCTTGTTTTCTGGTGAGGCTAATTCACGACTTACCTACAACCAAATTCTCATTTGAAATGAATAACCTAATCACATTAATTTATTAAGAGAATCCAGCAGCTTCTCATATATGCCAATAAATGGTAAAAAGTAAGACTTTACTGACCAAAATATTGCTCATATAATAGTCAGGAATTTGCCTTCGATTATGAAGTTCCTATGTTTTATGCTTATTGATTTATACGTATGAATTTCTAGGTTTTTATTTCAAACAAACTCATAATGGAAAATCTATAGAAAAGAAACTTAAGGCCGATTTTTATTATATAAAGTTAACAGTATTTTTTTCATTCGCCAGTTTTTTACACTCGTATTAATCCACCATCCGTTCATTTAACGACACAAATTGTGGCTTTAGAACATGGTATTTTACGAAGTCGCTATCATTATTTAGTGCTTGGCAAACTTTAAGCAAAGTTCTAGTTCCTTCTTAATAATCGGAATCTGGGATTTTTGCGAAACTTTCCGTGATCCATCCGAAATTTGAGACATTTTTACACATTTGGGTGAATAAGGCGTGGGAAAGCCTTTCCGCAATGTCCTTTTGAATGAGTAATAGGAGCAGATTTTTTGTCGGAGCTTTTACGTTATTTTTTGTGAAAAATATTGGTCGCGTCTGTCGAAATGATCTAGCCTCAAGACCTAATTGGAAAGTAGGCCCAGACTGCTTCATCTTACGTAAGTTGAAATGTTTTGAAGTTCAAGCCCAAGTGTAGTGTAGAAACTAAGATTTTATAATTGAATATATATGAAGACCAAGATGTTGTGGCCTCTGTTATGGTCGCAGTTTCCTTTCGATTTATAGAAGTGGGTCGACCTCGTTGTCGCAATTTGGTCTTGTTGTCAGAGAGACTATGTAGAACGCACGTAGTCCGAAGTCATCAGAAACGTTTGAGAATTTATTAAGTTCACTGTCAGATGCTGGGAATCATGACAACTACTATGGCAGACGACTTCGGACTAGGTGCGTTCTA